TCTCCTCCTTGTTCCGTTGCAAAATCCCCCCCTTTTAGCTTTGTAACCCCCATATTCCAACACCCACCTCCAAAACCCGCACTTTTCCCCCTAAATTGTGCGGATTGCCCTTGTCCGTGCCAAGCTGTGGAGCAGCAGAGCCGGGCTCGGGACGGGTCGGCTGGGGGGTGGTCCCACCTGCTCCCGGCACACGTGCGCGGGGAGACGTCAGCTCGTATTCCCGGAGCCATCCGTATTTCTGGAGCCATCCGTGGGCTGCCGGCGGATGTCGGGCGACAGCACGTGGCGGGTTTGCTTTGCCTTGTGCCGGCTGGTGGTTGGAGGGCTCTGCCTTGGCGGAGACACCCCAGATCCAAGCGTCAAGCACCATGTCATGAGCAGCTTATTCCCTGCTGCTGTTCCTCCACCTGGGAGAGAGCAAGGTGGGGATAGGCAGTGTGGCCTCAGCTCTTCATTCTCGCTTTAATTTGGCACCTGCAAGACACAGCACCAGGTTCGGAATGCCGTGAGTAATCCTTAAACCAGCGCTCAAGTGACTCATTAGTGACAATCGCCACTCATTTGTTGGGGTTTTCCAGCTGGTCTTTTCAGCTGTTTTCCCTGCTCCCTTTCGGCCTGGTTTCTGGAACTGGGCTTGCAGAGATGGGGGCTGCCTCGGAGCCAGGTAGTTCCCTGTGCCGGAATGCTTTGTAAAAATAGGAATTAATAAATAAATCAGTTGGGTTTGGGGGGCTAGGTGATGAAATTGAGGATTTCAAGCTGCCTCTTGGCTCATGGGGCTGTTCCTGTCCCTGCCATCCAGCCTGGCTCCTCTCCCGGGGGCTGGATGTAGGTCAGTCGGGAGTGGGAGGCGAAGCCTGCGCCCTGCCCCACATCACTGGATCTTCTCTTAATCTTCTGCCTTAACCGGTGTGAAGCCTGAGGCCGCAGGAGCCGGGATTTATTCCGCTGCCAGCGAGAGCCTGGATGTGGGAACAGCGTGTCCCTGTTGCCAAAGCAAAGCGCTTTTTTGAGCTTTTCCTTAGCAGGGGGAAGGTGAAAGCACTTCATATCACTTGTTTTCTCTCGTTTTCCTGCAGCTGTGGGAAAGCTCCCAGGTTTTTTTCCCCTGCTTTTCCTGTGGAACGGAGAGGCTGAGCGTGTGCCAGCATGGCAGGTACGGCGGGGCTCTGGTGTGGCTGCCCCTCACCCCTGAAGCCCATCTGGGGCTTTACTGGTCATCATGTCACCTTGTTAGTCCCTGGTAGGGTTGTGGGCGTCCACGCTTGCAGGATCCACGTGGCCAGTGAGGGCTAAATCTGTCTGATGCTTGGGGGTGGTGATTATGAGGGGAAACCCTTAATTCCAGCATCAGTTCCTGGGGCTGAACAAGACGAAGAAGGACACCTCTTGGTTTAGTTGACCTCTGTGCAGTGCCCAATGCTGGTGAAACTCTTTATTGCAGAGAAAGTGAACAACTTCCCCCCCTTGCCGAAGTTCATCCCCTTGAAGCCATGTTTCTACCAGGACTTCGACGCAGAGATCCCGCCGCAGCACCGCACCATGGCCAAGCGGCTTTACTACCTCTGGATGCGTGAGTGGCCGGGAAGGGCTCGGGTGGCTTTGTGGTTTCCATTCCTCTCCAAAGGCAGTTCCTGGCTGGAAGAGCAGAGCAAGGTCAGGGGAAGCCCCTCTGCCCCTCCAGGCCTTGGGGTCTCCTATTAAAACCTGCTGGGGGTGGGAGGTGCCGGGTCCTGCACTTCGGCCATACAAGCCTCCAGGCTTGGGAAGAATGGCTTGAAACTGCTCATGGAAAAGGAGCTGGGGGTGCTGATTGATGGAGCTGAACATGAGCAGATCGTGCCCAGGCAGCCAAGCAGCCACCAGCATCCTGGCCTGGCTCAGCACCAGTGTGGCAGGAGGGCCCGGGGAGGG